AAAAGTCCTATAACAGTCTGTGCTCTGTCTGTAGTCTGAGCTGGTCCTAGCCCTCTAGCCTAGCCATTGCCCTGCTTACTCTGTGTCCACCCCATCCGCAGCCCCCTTGTAGTATGTGGATGGGCAAAGACTCCATAGCAGCTGTTGATGCTTCTCTTCTTGCCTCTTTGAAGGATCTGATGCTGCTGCCAATGTGGGCTACTTCATCTATTAAACCCAATACACTTGTCGCAGCTGCTAAGCCCCCGTAAGCCGCCGGGCGCCGTGTTTGTGATGGGACTGACAGTGCATGGAGGAGGCTGATTATACACGATTCCATTTCGCGGGCCCAGCAATGTAATTTCACAGGGCGATCAGCGTTTGCATGTAATAGCAGGCTGTGCTGAGGTGTCAGAATATTAAAGGCGCTAATGGCAAAGCTCCCTGTTACACAGGGGGCCACCCGCCGCGCCTACAGCAGGGCTGTGCGGCAGGCCCGTCGCAGATGGCTGGCCACTAAGCTAATGGGGCAGCAGCCAAGGCGGGCAGAGTTGTGAGAGGAGAGAGCCAGCCAGGAGCAGCTCGGCACCTGCTTCCCGGCGCATGGAAATTACAGCAGCCCAGGGGACGGGAAGTGTGCGTGCCTCCCTGGCATGGGCTCTGGGGTGCTTGGTAGACCCAGCTTCTTTTACACCTACTTCATTTGCCTCTGTGGCCTAGTATTAGGACCTTCCCTAAATGGGATTCAGGAGCTCCTCAGATGTTCTTCCGATTACCCCACCTTCCACCACCCCAAAGCCAGGAATCCTAGAGTCTTCTAGACTTTATGCTCTGCATAACTGGATAGATAGGCCTTAATGACTGGTGGATGTAGCTGGAGAACGGGCACTCAGAGGATCTGGAATCAGTGTTGTGAAAGAGATTTAGGCACAAGCTGTTTATTGGCAAGAGTTCTTAAAACAAAATTCCTACCTGATTTTGGTCAGAAAGCTGCTGGGCCTTTATCCTGTCCCATAGAGAAGATCCTCAGCGAGATGGGTGGACACAGTGACTGTAACAGCAGGCTCAGGTAGTCAACTTGAAGGCACCTGACAACCACAGTCTAGGCTGGAAGGAGAGGGAGTGCCTCAGGTGCCCACCTTAACTGCTCCAGCAACACCTGCATCCTCTGTTGTAACCAAGCTTGCACCTGCCCTTTGTGTTTGTCCCTGCTGTATCTTCTGCCTGGGGTTGTGTCCTTCCGTTCATTTGTCAAACTCTGAAGGCACTCCAATACCACTTGTGACGGGAAGCCTTCCTATGCTCCTTCAGTGTCATTTGGGTCTACGTGTTTTCTTTGTCCCCTGGGGACTGCCCACAGGGTTCACCTTCCCTGTTGCTCTTGCTCTGATGGTTTTCTGGAATCAGCCCTGACTTCTCACGTAGTCTCTATGAGACATAACCCACTTCGCCTTGCCCTTAGCTGGACTCCCAGAAGGATCTTTGTTATGATTCATAGATAGAATATAAAAGGGTTATGGGGGGCGGGGGGCGGGATGACATGAAGGATGGCAGAGTAACCAGAGAGAATGGTCACTCTGTGGGTATGTGTATGTCCATGGGGATGGGGGTAAGCTTTATAAATGGGTGATGGGAGTTTGGGCACAGGTACAGTGGGGCAACAGGTGCAACGACCACAGATAAGTAGGAGCATTGACTGCTAGAGGTTCCTCCTCTGTGCTCTCTGGGTGTCTATTTACTATCTGCTGACTGTGCGTCACGGGTTCCCAACATGGTGAGAGCTGTGAGGCGCTTGAAGTGCTGTGCCTAGGGTGTTCTGAGAGGCTGGTAGCTGTATCTGAGGGTTCAGCTCTGTGACATTACCTGGGGGAGACATGCCAGGGCTCTCAGCAGGAACAGCAGAGGCAGAACCCAGGCTGAAGGAGAGCAGTTTTAATTAACCGCTTTTAATATCATTTTGGACTTTGTCTGGTGTGTGAAAGCCCCGCTGGAAGCAGCATTTGTAAAAATTAAATCCCACTTATTAGGAGCTTGGCAGACCCATGTGCATGCACCGCCCCCTTCCCCTCTGCCGTGCGCCCCCCTTTGGAGGTGCTGGATGAGGCCATGTCACGGCAGCAATTGGTTAGCATGCCTTATCTGGGAATATGAAACTGCGGCATGACACCCGTGGCCATGGTGGAGATGCCAATTCATCTCGCCTCCCCTCTGACAAGCTAGACTGCCCTTCCTGAAAGGCATCCATCAGGCAGGATGGGGCTGCCTCCATGCCTGGTACCTCTGTTTTTGTGTCCTGGACTCCAGCTTGCCCTGGTGCATTCTGACCCTTGTCTGGTCCTCCTGGGCTCTGCCGCCCTCCATCTCCTTTACATAAGTCCCGGCCTGTGGAAGATCTTGGGGGGCGGTGTCATAATTATAATAATAATCTAATCGTGGTGACGTGTTGGGGCAAGCATCTAATGTTATCTGAAGTGGTCTTCCAGCTTAGCTGTGATAAGACTCAGGATGACGTGCAGATAACGTTGAGCTGCCCTGTCCTCAAGCCGCAGGCAGAGCGTAGGCCTCCGCAGCCCTGCCGCCCGCCCGCCACTTTAAGCCGGGAAGCGGCAGCACCTGCTAATGCAAGTGTTTAATATTTGATGGGCTGGGATAAAGCAGGATCACCTTCGAATTGAATTGAGTGTCAGCCGAGAATCTATTACTGAAATTCGGGTGTGATTTGACAGCAAAGTAGACGATGTTATTCTTCACTAGTTACTGCAATCTTCTCCCTGACATCACTTAAATATTTTTTTCTTTGCTTGAATAAACACACATTATCCTTCTTTTCCCCCCCCTTCCTTCCCTTTTTCCTTTTTAGAGGGGAAAAAAACCCCCTATCTAGCTTGCCTTCCCTGGGCTGATAGAGTAGATTGTTATTTCTTTATTTGTCCTATTAAATGGAATTTCTGATCATTTAATCCGGCCTTTGTAAGTGATTTTAAAGTACTTGAAAGCCGGCCCGCCACTGCTCTCTGGCCCACTGAGCTCCAGCTTCGGTCCTGACCATGCTCAGCCGATCTTCCAGCTGTGCACCACCCACTGGCTGCTTTCCCTGGCTCTGCCCTGGCTCTCAGCCAGCGTCCTCTCCTCTGTCCTTGAGCCTGTGCTCAGGCCCAATTTGTGGGTACAGCTGTAGCCTGGGAAAGGGTGGGAATTTGGGTTGTGACTGGTACCTCTATGGAAAAAGGAAAATGGCTTGCAGAGTGCTAAGATGTAAGTATGCTTTGCCCTCTATTGACCTGTGGGACCAGTGTGTTGATCCCTGCAGATGTGAAGGTAGTACCTTGGCCCAGGCACAGAAGCCTCCCATCTGGGCCCTCTTCCCTAAGACAAAGACTGTAGTGGAATGAGCTGTGGGATGGGCATTGCCTTTTTGACCATGGCAGGCTGTCACTTCAGTGCTATCAGTAGCTAACTTCTGAGAATTTGCCCAGTCTTCATTCTTATTAACCACTGTCTCATATAAGCTGTCACCCTCCTACCACAGGGAGGAAGCACAGTCTGGTGTTTGGGGACCTTGAATGTGAGGAGATAGGTAATATCTGAAGGATCAGCTAGTTAGCTATGTAGATCCACAGGTAAAGCATGGGATTCTTTTTAACAGCATCAGAGGAATTCAAGCCACATGAAGCCACTGAATTATGTTGCAACCCATGCAAGCTTTTATTTTTTTGGCCTCAGTTTCCCTGTTTGTGCCAGGTCAGTCATATCTAGTCTATGGGACTGCAGGCAAAGTGCTATCCTTTATCTCTTATCATGTGTCCCCTGTTCACACATAGAGGTTGCCAGAAGCCAGGTGTCACGGATAGGGTACAGAGGGGACAATGGAGTGCTGGGGACCTGAACAGATCGATGCCCTCAGCACTTCCTTCCCCAACCCCAGGAAAACAATTAAGCACAGATCGATAGTGGCCGCTTTGAATATGCATAAGTGAGCACTTGACCTTCAGCAGGAGCATCTGCTTCCCCAGTACATGCACATGCTCTTGCACACACAGACACGCTCACATACTCTTCTGGTGCTACCTTGCAGCTGCTCTGGTTGACCAGGTGACCTTACTCCCCTTCTCATTTGAGCCCTCAAATGATGCTCACAGCCTCTGCAGCCAGGCCTGTCTCAGGGTGAACATCAAAATGACTATAGGCAGGCGGTTGAACTCTGGACTTCAGTTTTCCTGTTTGTAGAGTGAGTTCAGATGTATTGGCCTCCAAAGTGCCCCCTGAAACTGGTCTCTGTGGCCAATAACATGAAGAGGGAGTAAGCAGTGTTAGAGGGCTTAGGCAGGGTACAAATCTAAGGAAAAGTGGGTAAAGAGGGTCTCCTGGTTACATAAGGGGTCCTGATCTTAGTAAACGGGTGCAGTCAGAGAAGAACCCTGGTAAGAGGTACCACTCAGGGCTGGGCAGCTTTGATGGGTGGGAGACAGTGTAAGGGGCTCCACAGAAGGAAGGTGCTTTCTGGTGAAGCAGGATAAAAAGGGGACTCTGGTGAGGTGGCATAATGAGAGTAAGCCCCTGGTGGGAAGATTTGGGGCACCAGAATAGTTCTGGAGTCAGAGCCTCTGTTTTTGCCCCGTTAATTTTTACTCTCCTCTCTCCCCATTCCCATCACTGTTAACCCTCCAAGATTCTAGCTATGTGTAAACATTTCCTTAGCTTTTTATATTAGTGGTCTTATACATAATTGTCCTTTTGACTTTTATGTCATACAGCATAATTTGTTCTTGATTCATCCATGTTGTGCAGTATTTCATACATTCTTGATTATTTTTCATTTATACATATTGTGTGAAGAACGTACCATAATTTCTTTAATCATTCTTCTGTTGATGGACAGTTGGATTGTTTCCAACTCTTGCTATTGTAAATAAAACGCTGCTGTAAACATGTGCATATATATATATATATATTAATCTTTATCAGTGGTATTTCTGTTCAGTCAGGGCCTCTTTTAACCACTCTTATCTCCTGTCTTCCAGGCTTACAGCTTCGCCATGGGCTGCTGGCCCAAGAATGGACTTCTAGACATGAACAAGGGCCTCAGCCTGCAGCACATAGGTCGACCCCACAGCGGCATTGGTCAGTCCCTCTGCATATCCCCCTGGCAGCTCGGTCAGTCCCTTGCCCACATGCCCCAGTCCCCTGACATACAGCGGGCTTCAGTGCCTTATTCAGGACCCTAATTGGGCTCTCTCCGTAGCTAGGAGATAGCAGTAGGGGAGAAAATAAGGGAGAGTGAGAAGGGAACACTGAGATGGACCTCTCAAAACATCCCTGAGGATGAGGCTGGAGCCCGAGCTTTGAGTGGTAACCTTGGATTCAGGCCAGTGTACCCCTGTTCATGGAGGCATCCTTAGTGGGTAATATCCTTCAAGGGGTGGGCACATGTCAGCTTACCCACCTCCCATGGAGCTGGAAGAGGTTGTTTAATATTGTTTCAAGTCTGTGGCCACTAAACTGAGCGATCAATGAGAGTTAAGGAGATGAATTATTTAAACCTCACCAGCTTTTAATTAGTCAGGGTCCTTCTGACCGATGGCTCCATCCACAGGGTATTGACTCCCCCCGCAGGAGCAGCAGCCTCCATTGAGCAGTGCTGAGTTGGGAGGGGCCACTTGGGGTACAAGGTAGGGAGTTTGTACCCCAGGGAAATTCTTAGGAGAGGTATGGAGTAGCCGTCATTCCAGGCAATCAGGTGGGGAGACTGTGCTAGATATCCCAGTGCTGATAGTATTTGTCTATGAGTAGCTGTATGTCAGTGTCTAATAGTTGGAATGTGCCCATATATTTTTATGTCTGTTTGAGCGGATATGGGTGTGGGCATATCTTTTTCTGAGGGTATGTGTTTGTATAGGGAAGCAGCCATCAACCTGTATGCATCTGTCAGAAAGTATATTTGTTTGCATGTATCTTATTTGTGTGCATGTGCACATGTATTCATGCAAATGCTATCCAGCGAGGTACGACAGGCAGAGTTGGGCTTTGTTTCAGTAGGGAATAGCCTGAGTATTCCTGGATGATGTTATGACAGTATTATAACCTTAATGCCTTTGGGAAAGTATAAATTTGATGGGAGACTGGAGAGATACACTAGAAAGACCGGAGCATCAAACCAGTTAACTGCTACACACTAGCCCATCATGCATCACATAGTCACTGGGACCTAGTGGGTGCTTAGCATATTTAGTGGAAGCTCCTGTCCTCGGTGAGTTCACATCCTGGGAGGAAGCCGAAAATGAAATAGGCAATTGTCTCCACCTAGAAATGACTGAAATAAAAGGACCTAGCCTGTCCCCAGGGTGGTTTTCCTTTCCTCACCAGCTCTGGTAACTACTGTGTCATTTACATCTCACCAACATCTGAGGTGTCCTTTATCACTCTTTCTGAAACATTCCAAAGCTCTGCCAAGGCTGAGGGAAAAAGCATTCTACAAGGTTTCCACAGTGACTGCTCTTCACTTCCGAAGGAACTATTCCATACACCCTAGTTGTTTTTGTTGTCATTAGGGCCATTGAGTTAAGTAGGACTCTTAGAGACCTTAGGAACAAGGGCTTAGAACCCTGTCCTACCTTGAGGCAACTTCAAGTCTGTGACACACAATACCCCATTGTCACAGTAACTGTGTCATTCCATCTCATCCAAGGTCTTCCTCTCCTACACTGACCTCCTACCCTTCTAAGCATGATGTCCTTCTCTAAGGACTGGTCCCTTCTGACAAATTCCCAAACTATGTGACATGGAGCTTCAAAGTCCTTGCCTCCAATAAGCAACTTGATTTCACCCTCTCTAGGACCTGTTTGTTCTCTTGGCTGTTCATGGTATGTTCCATACTCTTCTCCAGCACCACAACTCAAAGACATCAATTCTTCTGTCATCCTTACTCTCTGCCCTTCATAGCAAACAGTTGAGAAGACCGTGGCCTGTGTTAGACATACCTTAGTCTCTAGACTAACATGGTTGCTCTTTAGCAATCTGGAGAGGTCCTTAACAGCAGATTTTCCCAATGCATCTCATCTTTGCCAATTCATCTTTTGATTTCCTGACTGCAGGTGCCAGGTGTGTTTACTTTGGATCTAAGCAAGGTGAACTCACTAACAACTTCAGTCTTTTATCTATCATGATGCTGACAATTGGCCTGATGGTTAGGATTTTTGTTTTCTTAGTATTGAGATGCAATCCATATTGAAGACTGCACTGATCTTGGTTCTTGCATAGATCCTTGATCTCTTCTGTAGAAAGTGCTTTAAGTCCTCCTCAGTTTTGGCGAGCAAGGTTATATCATCTGGATAATGCAGGTTGTTCATAAGTCTTCCTCTAATCCTGATGCCACTTCATGCAGTACAGCTTCTCAGACTGTTCAGTATATTGATTGAAAAGGTATGGAGAAAGGATACATCCTTGATGCACTCCTATCTTGATTTTGTATCATGTAGTGTTCCCTTGCTCTGTTCAGACAGTATCTTCTTGGTCTAGGTCTAGGTTTTGCATGAGCACAATCAAGTATTTTGGGATCCCCATTATTCTCAATGTTAGCCACAGTTTGCTGTGATCCACATAGTAAAATGCCTTTACATAGTCAATAAAACACAAATAGGCTTCCTTCTGGTATCCCCTGCTTTCAGCTGAGATAACATCTGACATCAGTGATGATATCCCTAGTGCCCCTTCTAAACCCAGCTTGTATCTCTGGCAGTTCTCTGTCGATATGCTGTTCTAGTTCTTGGAGATATCAGACCCATCAAGACAGTCTTCTGGGGAGGTCAGTGGGAAGTTTCCTGGAGTCAAGGATACTGGAATTTGAGGATCTTTGAAGTATTTAATAAGATTTTGTAGATGGGCCTGTATAGAGAAGCTCTAACAGGTAAGTGATTTCCTTTGACTGGAATGGGAAGTTCTGGTTAGAAAATAAGCAGAAATAAGCAGGGTCTTGACTGTCAAGTTAGAGGGTGTGGATATTTTTTTGAGATTTTGAGGAGATGTAGGAGGTTTGTGAATAAGAAACTGATGTGGTCAGAGCTCTGATTCAGAATCAGCAAGGAGTTTAGTGCTTCACTAAACTGTTTAATATAGGTGCTCAGTGAATATTAAAGTTAAAAAACAAATCCTGGTAGCCTAGTGTGTAAGGAGTTGCACTGCCAACTCAAAGGCAGGTTATTAAAATCTGCCAACTGCTCAGTGGGAGAAAGAAAGAAGGGCAGTCTACTTCTATGCAGTTTATGCCCTCTGAAAACTCACTGGAGGGTCAGTTCTGACCCAATGACACATAAAAATAACAGCAATAAATACTAGATAAATAAATAGGTAAGTGAATAATAAATAAATGTTGTTGTTGTTGTTGTTATGTGCCGTCGAGTCGCCTGCGACTCATAGCGACCCTGTGTACAACAGCCCTAAACTCCGCTCTGTCCTATGCCAATCGCACTGTCTCTGACACTCCCATCCCAATTATCCCAGTCACTGAATCAATCCACCTCATAGAGGGCCTTCCTCTCCTGCGCTGTCCCT